CGGAAAAAGCCGCAGCATTCCTCTGATTATGCCTATGCCAGTATGGCATAAACAGATGGGGATTCGGGCTGTGTTGTGCCCCGTTTTCATTTTACGTTAGAATAAACTGTGTTATCATTATAGGCTACTGCTTTGTTTTCGACTGAAAAACAGTCACTGGACCCCTTAATGAGAAAAGAAGAAATAGATAAGGTAATTTAATCACATTTTTCTCAAAAAGTGCAGATATAAATATATATTTTTTCAATTATTTGCTGGAGTGTTCACAGACAGACAGTTTTTTTTTAAAATAAAAGCCCCTTCATCCGCACTTGGTGCCGAAAATAATTGGTCATTCTCCCCTGCTTGCAGGTAAATTGAACAATTTTCTGCTGCTGTGACAGATTCCTTTGACAGGTTAACAGTGCAGATATATTCTGCCTCCCCCCCCTACCCTAGCTTTGCATTACTATCGAACAGGGCCGGTGATGAAACGGTAAGAGTCAGACCTGCTCAACCATGGCTAAGCCAGTCCAGCTTGCATTAATTCTACCTGGCAATTAATGCGATTCTACCTCGAAACATATGACCCGGGCGGATAAAAGACTACGCTCCCTGCCTTGCTGAGATCAAGACTCGTCTTTACTCCGGAGACTTAAGAGGAAGACGGGCCGCATGGCAGCTGCTGCAGGGCCCTCGGGGTTCAAAGCAAGAGGGATAGTGCCCACGGACTTCTAAGAAGACTGCGGCTGCTCTATGAGAAAAGTTCTTAAGGGGAGTTTTTCTTTATGTGGAGTTATGTGAAGTACGCATGAGTTGTCAGTCGGACAGCTCTCAGGGCAGAGTTCGGCCACGTTACGGTCAGACTTTGCATGGTCAATGAGAACCACAGAGTGTGAAAATATACATATATATATCACTATTAAGGGTTTACTAGGGCCACTTTCAAATAGCTGTGGTTTGAGTAGGTCTACAAAGCCCAAACTCGCTCTTCTGTTTGCTCTGATCTGAGAGGTCGGCTCCTCCCTGATTCACCAAAACTGAAAGAACACCGACTGCTCATTAGTACCTCACACAAATTCCATTAAAAGAAAAATCATTTAGATATTTGGGTGAGATAATCCCACAGATAATCACAATGTGCTACGTTGCGCTTTCTTCTCTGATCGGAGCGTGATTGCTTTTTAAATTGGAAATGTTCTCTCTAGATTCAGTGACACACTTGAAGGCATATAATCTGTCTCTGAACACAACAACCTCTGCAAAGGTTCGAACAAATTGTCCAAATAACAAACAAGATGGAAGTACCGACAACGGAAAACAAAACAGGAAGTGATAGTCCTGAACATAACCAGTGCTTCTTGTTTGATGGACACGTTTTACCTCCCCCACCGCCACCAAACGCGCCATTTTCTCTGAAATGAAAAGCAATTTGCTGATCGTACTTGCTGAGTCGGCGCTAGCTAAAATGAATCTTTGGAGGTGAGCCCACACTAATGCCCTCATGTTTTCCCTGATAGCTGGAGGATGAGATATGAGCTTGTCAGATCAGTGTGATGCAGAGGGAAGGTGTGTCAGGAACATCAGTTGTGGACCACGATGGGGCGTCGTAAAACATCTGGATGGTAATCTTTGCTCAAGGTCACATTTCTTAAACATTTTGAATAAGTTATAGTTTTTATTTATTTTATTTTTTTACATAAGAGCAGAAAACAGTCAAAGAAAGGACCCCTTCATCAAAAGACTCTACAGCATCACCACCCTTGATGTAGCTGTCTTCATTTTGTTTTAAGCTTTTTGTTCACATTCTGTGTGTCTGTCTGCTTCCCAAGGCTGGTAGTAAAGACAAACATCTTCAACTTGCTGTATTTTTGTGCTGGCTTTGTGGCAACAACGGAACATCTGGGGGAAGAAGAGCACGGCGGTAGTGCTGAAGGACACTTTGGTTTGGCTGAAGGATGAAAATTACTCATGTAAATCCAGAAAAACATAAAGCTCTGTCAGTTTTTTCTTACCCAGCCTGCCGTTGCCAGAGACGTGTTCATGCATTTGTCTCCATTCACAGAAACTGCAGCTCAAAACAGAAGAGATGAGGCACAAAGTGCTAAAGTGATGTCCCGAGTTCATATTTGTGCAGGTGTCACTGCATGGCAGCGATTCAGTGCTCTATGTACAGTTTCCAACCAATCCCAGGGAGTTTCCTTAATTTGAGGCAGCTCTCAGCTCTTTTATGCCATAAAAATGGCATAAAAGCTCCTCATTGTCCTGGACAGAAGTTATCTGACAGCCCACTGACGGTTCCTCCCCGTGGCTGCATAATGCTAAGCTAGTTTAAAAACTTTTGTTTCACAGTTTGGCCTTTCAGTTAACCTTCATAAGACTTTTTGATCAAGGGTTAAAAAATTATTTGATTGACATTGTGCTCAAATGCATTTTCTGTCTGGTTTTCATATTTATCTGAACGGCGGACTAAACCACTTGACTTCATGCAAAGCGTCATTTTACAACTCTGCCACTAAGATTCCCTTTAAGTTTGACCACAAACTCATTTCTTCTGCTTTTTTTTTTCCATGAAGGAGTAATTTGGGGCTGAGAGGTACTTCTGATCCTGTAATTATCTAACATCAAGACGGAGTCCCTATAATCCCCTCTGATTGTACATGATCCATTCATGGAGGTCTTAAACTCTGTCACACATCAGGTAACACCCCCCTCCCCAAACCTCTTCAGTAGTCTCTTCTTTCTCGCTCCTACACACACACACACACACACACACAAACACACACACACACACACACACACACACACACAGCTTTGGTCTGTGGACGTTTTGAACGTGTAAAGTTGAGAACTCATTATCAAACCAGCTGGCTGAACTTTGAAGATTTCATTCTAATTTATGTTCTACAACAAACCGATCATCTGTACCATCAATGCTTTGATTTAAACTCGGTTTTATGTGGGATCACATCAAAGTTATTTTCTGTTCAGTTCTCACTTTATTTTTGATCTAGTGATCATCTCAGAATATCTCTGCAGGGAAAGCAATAGCGAAACGCCTGTTAATGGCAGAAAGAAAAACAGTTAATGTCGATGCACCATGTTTGACTGATATTTTCAAATAATTTTTTTAATAATTTCCAGCAAGGGATCAATAAAGTAATTCTGATTCAAACAACCTTAGCATGAAACTTATGCGATTACAGCCATTTTAAGGATTATTCTCCACCAGAATTTCACATCCCGCGTAAAAGAAACTCGATTTGGAGCATTATTTTGATGCCTTTTTTTCTTTTTTTTTTTTACTTCAGCTCAATAAAATGTCACAGATAGGTTGTAATGCATGATGGAGATTCACTTTAAAGGAACTGTAACTGTAACACTGAAGTTAAAAGCAAAAAATGAAAAATAAACACGTTTTAAGCCAAGCTGTGTGATTATGTTTGTTCATTAATGAGATAACGATCAGTCCGGGCACTGGGGCACTTTCTGGTTTAAGTAAAAGACAACACATTTAGCTGATCATTAGAGACTGAGGTGATTACTAAGGAGATATCCCAGGAGTCACTGTGACACTTTGGGCCCTCTGGTGGTCACTGTTGTTGTGCTCATCTTGTAAACAAAGTGGAGCCTGTGATTAACATGTCACCTATTATTTAACTTTCCCTATTTATTTATTTTTTTACTTTTGCTGTTTAGTCTTTAATCAATCTCTCTTAGCAGGATAAAAACAGAAGACTGTTAACAGTCTTACAGCTTTGTAACACAAACACTGGCTCCTTTATAGCTACAAAGTAAAACCAGGTTGATTGACTTTTTATTATAGAAGGGCTGAATTTCTTCTAAAGTAATACAGTAACATACATATATTGGGGTGATCTGATTATTATTTCTTTTAGGAAGGGAATAGGAGTAAAAGTTAATTAAAAAGCACAACAATGTGCACTGCAATCTGCAGGTGGATGAAAACGGTGACTATTTTAGGGATCATTAATCGTGGCGGCACCACGCAGCACATCGCTGAACCCCACTCTGAGGACCACCCCCGGATTATGAACTGCTGTTAGTGGCTGCCAGTGACCCTTACCAGCCAGTCTCAGCATCTTGCAAAATGATTTATCTCCTTGCCTCTTGGTGAGCGGATCTGCGCATGCGCGAACGTATTTCCCAGCCACATGCTTCTGGATCAGAGCTGAGAGTCAAGCCTGCAGAAATACCACGTGTTGAGGCAGAAAAATAAGCATACTACTTCCCGATACAGATCCAATCCGCGGAAAAATCCCACTAAATCTGGATAGAGGCTTATTCATAAATTTATTTTATTAGAATTAATCATTTGGATTTAAGACCAGAAAAGAAAATTGGCTCGAGTAATTGAGGGTTTTCCTTGGTTCAGCTTTGTTTTAGTTTTGTTTTTTTGCTTTACTTGCCTCCTGATTGTATTTCAAAGCGTGGAGTTTTTCTCGTGGGCGTGTGCGTGTGCGGCTATTTAACGCTTTACGCTGAAAGTCTGACCGGAAGTTGCCGGAGTGACGCTCTCCGGCCTGACGAACTCCCGACAGCCGACGTGTCTCCGGCAGCGGCCGCGGAGCATCAGATCCTCCTCTCCGCGTCGGGGAGGCGCGCAGGATGTTGCCACTGATCCGCTGAACGCCGCTCGCTGTTTTTTTTTTTTTGTTTTTTTTTATCATCATTCTCTCCTCCCAACTCCCCGCAGGGCGCAAAGCTGTCGGGCTCAGACCCAACATGGGTTAGAGAGAGAGAGAAGCCACCTATGGATTATCCACTTTGTGCACTTCGGAGAGGATGATGGGGGGTGCGGAGAGGACTTGTTTTCGCAGAAACATCCTGACAAAGACGGGGGACTGAGGGGGGAGCGCTGACCCGGGATTCGCCGCTTCTCTGTCTCGTTCTGCATCTCTTTCTTTCTTTTCTTTTTTTTATTTTTATTTTTGGGTGATAGATTTCCAGTTTTTGGTGCGTTTTCTCCCATTATTTACCTGCTCCGGAGCGAGACAGAGATGTTCGCAGAAGCGCTGTGCGGCGCCGTGGCTCTGGTCCTGTATGTCAACACTCTGGGCGCCGATTTCTGCTACGATGACAGGTACTGGTGTGAGGTGGGGGGGTGGTTAGGGGGGAATAGATGCTCAGGCTCCTCCGAGGGGGGCTGCGCGTCCCCAACTGTTGCGCGTCGCTCCTCCAGGTTCGGCGCAACAAACCGTGAGCGGTTTGTTGTGAATGTTGCGCTGAACTCCAGGTGAGCGGCGTCTCTACGCCCCTTCTGAGCCTTTCTGGACGGACTCCTGCCCGGAGGGAGGCAGGTTCCAGGCACTGATGGGGAGTGTTGGGGTCCACGCGTGTGTTTGTGCGCTTGGTTTTGAAGGATAACCCTCAAAAACCGGTTCCTGATGGCCCCACGCAGATTGATGGGTTTCTATAGGACGAACAGGGATTTTTGGGGCATGTCTGGATGTCTCCTGCAAAGTGATGCAGCCTCCAGGGTCTGAACTTCCTCGGAATCCTGAGTTGTGCTGAAGAATTAATTGATCTCTGGAGGAGCTCTCCGCCTCTTTGCTCGGCATCACTTTCAGACTTGTCCAAATGTGCAGCCTGCTGAAACTTTTTGCGAAAGCCTTTTTATTTATTTATTATTAATTCCCTCTAAAAATAGACAGAGTTGTCACCCTCTCTGTTAGAAGGCATCGGGGCCGGGGGGCTGAGCTCCTGGAAGAGGCTGGGGGGGGCGATGCATTACTCATAGCTGGCCTTTTTGATATTTGATGGCTGAATGGTTGTCGGCGCCCCGGGCTCTTTATTCACCAGCTAGGCCTAAATGTAGGTCAGTGGCATCCATATTTTCCTGCCATCACTAGATCAGCTCCCTGTCAGCCAACATTTGACTTAGTCGGATTAAACCCATCCTCTCTAAGCCTTTGTTCCCACCTCCTGCCATGCGTAGGTGTAACAGGTGGTGGTGGTGGTGGTGGGGGGGGGGGGGCTGCTGAAGCAGACCCATAGGATTCATCTCGTGGAAGAAAAAAAACATCCCAAAGTGCTGCGTTTGTCGTGTAGATCCCCTCCACGCTTTGCACGGAAGACCCGAAGGTCTTCTCTTTTTCTGCTGAGGCTTTCACACTCCCTCGTGTTCCCGTTTGCACTTTGCACCCGCGTCAAGTGATCCGGGCCACTTAAGTGGAGAAGAAGTCGGCGGTGCGTGTCCATAAAGCTGTCAGGGAGCGGCGGGGCCGTGCGGGGTGAGAGGCTGCTCCCCGGCCTCTCATACTATAGACAGAAAAACAAAGACCCACAGGCCAAATTCACGGGGAGAGGACATCGGAATATATTAGAACGTATCGGTCCTCGTATCTATTTTGGTCCAAATGTTCTCTATTCCCTCGTGACGCGTGGAAAAAATGTGGGGATTGCCTGATTTTAACGCCGTGTGTTCAGGCCGGCAATTAGCAGCCGTCTCATCGGGTTCCACTGGGAGCTCACGAGAGCAAAGGGAAGGAAGGGTGTGACAGAGATATTTCATTTTTATGGCGAAAACCGTTTGGGAGACTGATCTCACTTGTTTGCACACTCTTGGTGGAGAAAAAGAAGTCCTATCTATCCTTTTTTTATACAGTTAAGGAGCTGTCAAGCTATAAAGACCAAAATGATGGATGGATAAGAGTTTGAGCTTGCCATTAGGGAGCCCCCTGCAGCATCGATAGACTGGAGACAGTTATTTATGACGCCGGAGGTGCAGGGTTTTCATGCAGGACCCGTACTGTGGCTTTACAATAAGAAATCAGTTGCTGATGTTTTAATTTGTGTGGCTTAAACGGAAAAAAAAATGGCATTCATTGAGTTTGTGTTTTTTTCCGAATCAATAATTTAGCGGGAAATAACTATGGATATGTTGTCACAGTGGAAAATTGATTCCCCTCTGTGTAGACAGATTATGCCCCCTCTTTGCTCCCGGCTGTGAGGCTAATGCACAGATTGAACTCAGCCAGTGATCTGAAGTTAGAGCCCGACTGAGACTGAGCTGTGTGTTTGGGTGTGTGTGAAACGGCTAAAGCAAGTAAAGCCGCCAAAAAAAAAAAAGACACTGCGGGATTTCCACCGTGGGCTGATGGCATTAGCGTGGCCGTGCAACACCTAACGATTTGTTGTTGTTTCTCTTTAATTTCAAAAGGCCGAAAAAGGAAAAGAAAAAAAAAAAAAGAAGAAGCTGCAACTTCTGGTCCGGTAGTAACATGTAGATAAGGAGGGCATTTACGGCCTCCATAGACAGTAAACAAGATCGTCAGCAGGTTTTAATCGACGCATAAAAACCGGTTTGCAAACTTTTGTTGCATTTGAATCCTCCGGGTTGTAAAACTGGGCCCCGTGCTCAGCTCTCTGGCCCCTGCGGGCAGTCGGGGCCTCCCTCTAGATAAAAACGTCAGCCTGGATCTGCGACCCGCTCGACGGTGCCAGATAGCCCCGGGGGCACTCCTCCTCTCCCTCCCCTGGAAACACTCATCATTACCGCACGCACTTCGCTTTGACGCCTGCGCTGGAAATAGTCGGAACAAGTCAGGCGGTTCACATCCGGGTGGCCCCAGTCAGTGCTGTGGGTCCGATCACTAGCAACAAGAAACCCATAGAAGGCCTCATTCTCCTAATTGGAGATGTTTTTTTTATTTATGATATGACATAAGAATGCTGTCGGGCCACAGATCCAACTAAAAATCTGGACAGGAAGCCGGTCCCTGTCGAAAGTCCGACGGCTGAGAACCCTGAGCTGTTTCCAGGTTCTATTTCACCCCGGCCCACGCACTCTGCTTTTATGGATTGCCGCTCCCAGACAGGAGGCTGACGGATGCCGTGAACTCTACCTCCTCATTTTTTTCTCCCGTTGTGCGGCGTCGTTTGACTCGAGCGTGCGATGATGTGCGAAGGCCGCCGGTCGAAAACCGAAGGACGGCGCTTCCCGGGCGTGGGCGCTGATTTACGAGGCCCGGGGAGGAGCTGGAGGCACGGCTACTGCAGACCACGGAATCTTTATTAGGGCTCTCGCCGGCGGGACAGAAACACCACTGGGGTTGTCGTAAAAAGCCGTGCCCCTAAGGGCTCCGCGTGGTCAGACGGGGGTACCAGACACTCGACTCGGTGATCCGGAACCGCACTTTCACAGTCTGTAACGCGGCGTTTTTCTGTGGTCGTGCCGAGCGCCCATGGGCGGCAACCCAGCAAGCCTGGCTATCTCCAGATGTTTTCCCCCGGTCAGACTCTCTCCGCTTGCTCCCTGTAATTACCGTCCTGCTCGGGGAGAGCTCACGACACGGTCCCGTGAACGCCGCCGCGGCACCGACCGACTCCCCCCCTCGGGCCTCCCGCACCCATCCTCCCAGTACCTCCAGATGGTCCCGGTCGGGAGGCCGTTTGCTGGTTTTTCTCCCCTCACCAGTTTGGAGGGGAACATTTGAATCGGATTCAAATGCGGGGCGCTTTCTCTGCTTATTTTGGCCAAAACTGAGACGTTCCCGCTGACATAGCCGGTTTGTAAGAGGGTAAGCGAAGATTGTGTCAAAACAGTAGGGATCGTTTTCTCAGCCCTTCAGGGGAGCAGTTTTGTCATTAAAAGTTTCAAGATTTAAGGCTGGACTAAACGTTTTAGGAGCGGGCTGCCCACTCCCGTAAAAAACCATTACAGAAAAAAAAAAACTTCCTCTACTCAAGAAGAAGCTGTAACAATAAAGACTGATTACAATGAATAAAGCAGATAATTGTCACTTACTGTAGTCACGGCGATGTGCTTCAGTTTGAAACGAGCGACTTGGAAAACAACCTGATTGCCACTGTGCTTTTTTTTTTTTGTTTTTCTTTTTCTCGATGTGTCGTTAATCTGCCTGGACAGGAGGAACCTTTGCTCCTGCATTTCCTCCGACCGCATTACCTCGGGTTTCCAGGGAGTCAGTCCTTCTAGGACGGGAGGAGGGAGCTATCTCAGAGGCGTCCTGTCCAATATCGGTGGCCTTTCTCAAAGTTGAATGTGGATCAAGGTTTTTCAGGCCTTTGAACATTCCACATGAATACAAACACAAAACTAAAAACAAAAATCTGAAAAACGTTTTATTCCAAATGCTTTTGCGCTTTTTGCCTTAATGCATCATTCAGAGAAAACCAGAAAAGAATGAAGAAGTGTGAATATCTCTTTAACTTCGCTGGGCTGAAAAGATCGGATTGGTTTTTTTAACCGCAGACAGTTTGGATCTCCCCGTTTTGCTAAGCCGTCATTTTCCAGCAGATAGCCGGGGAGCGTAGGAATTGTTATTTTCATCCTCGCCACAACTGCAAGATAAGCTAGTCTGGCAGAATTTAATTTGCGTCTAAAAATACCATTAATGAGGGGTTTAATGTGTCTGTGCGTTTCTTCGCTTACCAACAAAACCCCACAGAATTACGCGAAGCGCCCTCCGCTCGGATGAGGCGAGTTCATATTTAGGTTAATGGGAAACAGCTGACTAGATAGCATGCTTCCCTTTCCCTGACAGTCCTCAGGCCCAGAATACCACTCCACTATTCTTTAACATGGTCGCTACATTTGCTTATAAAGTGCATTTTAAAGAAAAACCAGCTGCATTCCCTGCAGTGAGGACAGAAAAGGGAAAATCTGAGATACCTGCTCTTTAAATCTCCACCCGGGGGGGAACCGGGAGGACCTAATAACATCTTACAAATGTGGTGAGGCACACACCGCAGAAGAGCAGTGTGTTCCCGTCTCCTGACCTCCTCTTCTCCACCTTTCCATTCTGTGTCTCAAGAAAAAATCTCAGTGATACCAGCATACCAGTGGCTCTGTTCCTCTGCGGTTTGTTCAGCTGTACCATCGTGCTGACACGCCGAAGAAATCTCATTTTGGGATGCGTTTTTACTCTACTGTTTGTGGGAGTGGTCAAAAGTCTTGTCGGATACATTGATTTTTACCTTTGGCAAGCAAGAAAGAAAAGTTACTGGCAATATCTCAGAAAAATTGGTTTATAGGTCTATTTTCAAGCTCCAATGAGGCTTAATATTCCGCAAGATTACACCAAATTGATCTTGAACGCTGGGCAGAGCTCCAGGGAATGA